GTAGAATGTTCCCCAATGACACAAAATGGACTAATCTTGTAGAGGTCCACTCAAGGTAATTGCATATATATACTGAATATTAAATATATTCAACTCGCAGCTATTAGGAAGAAGTCGTTTAAAAGAAGAGTTGACTCTGACATGGGACAACGATGACAACAACAACGACGACGGACAATCACATATATATTAACAGGTACACGATGCTAAAAATGATATAAATGTTAATTCCGAAAGAATTTATTACACTACAATGACTTCCCAGGGTGCATCTCGTATTGATGGGAGAAGATTGACTAAGAACAAGCCCTGTGGTACTGTAAAAGCTTTTCATAGTATATATGTACCTCTCGTATTTTAGTCAACAGCTCATTTCTCTCATCTTCAAATTCCCTGCGTTCTGAAGTTAATTGTGCGTGTGATTCTTTTCTCTCCTGCAGCAATGACTTCTCAAGAGCGTCGACCTGTCTTTGCAGATCCATCGTCTTCCCATGCGAAACAGCTAACAATCGCCTCTGCTCACCTCTTTCCTTTTCCCATGATTCTTGAATGCGAGCCAGCTGTCCTTCAACTTTCTCCCTTGTCTTTTTTGATGAACCTTTCACATTCTGTTCCAGCTGCAATGAGAAAGCGAGAAAAGCGCGAATGTTTAATAATAGCATTGATATAGATAGGAATACGACTGTGCTCTTGAAAACAAGAACCTGTACCCTTAAAATGACTAGCTTGGTCGAACATGTAACAACATTCTACTACATAATAAAAGCATCTAATATGTTAACCTTCGCCCAATTTAATAATGTGAAATTCGAACTCAAACAGAAAATCGCAGGTTTGTAAAACAATTTTACGATGAGCTGTGGTTTTATGTTGAGATGAGAACACTTACACGTGTAATTTTGACCTGTAGCTCTGAACGTTCGATTTCCCATGACGATTTCTCAGAAACATATGTTCTTTGTATTTCACTTCTTCGCTTTTCCTCGTTGGCGAGCTTCTGTTGTAGAGATTCCACGCTACGACGAAGATCAGTCGCCAAACGCTTGCCGTCTTTTGCCTGGAATAAAATAAAATAAAAATACACATTTGGTAATCGTTGTCCTAACTATTCAAAATAGATAGGACAACTTATTATTTCAATAAAAATATTAACATATAAATGTTTACAAGTTACACTGAAATTCGTTTGTCTCCACTATTTTAGCCATTGATATTAATAAAAAATGTGAAATCTTAAGTGATTACTAAGTTTTGCGATCTATGATTTGAATAGAGCTAGGAGACACATTAGCCGAATTACTTATAACCTATAAGCTATACAAATACTGTACATAAATACATTATCATATTATAATTTATTATATGACTTGACATAAGCTCAGCGGGTCATACCGAGGTTAAAGCATGTAGTAGCATGAATGTGGATATTAATGACAACGTTGTTTGTATAATCCTCCCACCGACTCGTGTAATAATAACATGACATACGACGAGAATTAAATACATGGGGCACACTGGAACACGAGAGTTAATATCTCCCAGTAATAGCTGCGCGTGGTGTATGAATTGAACCATAACACCGTTTGATTGGTATACCCGGTGGCCAACGGTGCTAGGAATGGTGCTTGGCAATTGTCTGGCCTCTCTTTAATTTATAGATAAAATGACTTGTCTTTTTAGATATACATTTTACTGGACTACAGTAATTGAGGAATGGGCTATTACAGTATCCTGCTCTAATCTAATGAATTTGATCACAATTTACTCTATTAGAAGCAAAAAGCATATATCAGTATCATTGAAATTTGCCCTTACCAATTAGACACCAATTTTGTCACAGTAAAGTAATTCGAAATTTGAAAGCTTGGGTGAAGTTTAGGTTACATATTGCAATTTTTACAATCCTGTTTCATATCAGTACCATACTGACATGTAATAGGTATGACATGGGATATCAACGTCAAGAGTCATTTTGATTGTTTTTCTCAAAATATTAATCATTATCACACATGTTTTCTCGCTATTGGTGTAGATTACATTCTTATATTAATAAATTGCACATGCCGAGGCTAATTACAAACGAAGAGTTATGCCAACAATTTAGACCATATGTAAATATTGGTACTTACATCCTCTGCTTGTTTCTGGAGGTTTCCCTTCTGTCGTTCCCATGCCTTCCTCTCGTTGTCAAACTGGGCTTTCACAGAAGATAACTCACTCTGTACATCCGATGCTACCAGTCGATGATGTTCCTTCTCCTTGGCCTCGTTTTCGCAGTTCCCTTCAAGTCGACTCTTTTCATCGCGCATCGAGGCGATTTCGGTATCAAACCGTAACTGCAACGTGGCGATCTCCGTTTTGGAAATCTTCTCCTGGGCCTGCAGTTGGAGAACAAGTTCTACTCTCTCTCTGTCGTGCTCTGCCTCTTTCTCTTTCAACTGACACTCAGCCGTTTTTCTTTCTTCCCGAACATCTGCGAGTTCCTTGGTCAAGGCATTCAACTGCCGTTATAAATAAACAAATACGGTTTTATATTTCTCACATTTCTATCATGTCTATATCAACCCTGATACCATATTATGACGTCATTTATTAACATGAGATGCCAAAAATTGCATAATATATTCCGTTTTCAACTATATAATAGCATGCAACTAAAAGCGTTGTATTTCCTACGTGGTTCTATGTTACCATTATATATTGATGTAGGCCACAGGTTTCAAGGGCCCAAATTCCCTGACATACGAACGGCTGGGACATGACTAAACAGCACAGCCATCAACTCAATTCGTTGATGCCTTATATCAGTAGTTTATTTTTAATAACTTGTGCGACAGGGCGCATACTTCCAGCCAATTGGTTCAACATACTCCTGGAAGTTAATTCTATAGCAATCATGGCAGTACGATGTGCGCAACTATCAACATTAATGGTGACTGTAATAGGGAATAATGTTCTTTTAAATATTGCGCATGGGTCATCACAAAGTCGGGGTAATTATAGTTAACTGATTGCTAAACTACTGGCATGAAATGTAATTGGCACTTTTCTAAGGTGAGTCATGCAGTTTTATTTAAGTTCATGATTTGTTTGAATGATCAGACTACATTAGCTTAGCATCTATATGGCGTTTGTAAAATAGATAGCTAAATAGCAGACCAGAGCCACACCTGTGAGCTAATAGCTGTCATCATGGGAAATAGTTATGATGAATTGCAGCAACTGTTCAAACAGTTGTCGTGACATGAATGATTGATCGTTAAAAGTGTAAATGTGCATCTCATGAGACCATGTCTCAGTAGGTCAATTATGAACGCGATAAACGCATGTGCCGAGTGCGGGACTGGAGAAAATGATGATATCCACATCTTGTATTAATACATGTCTGTGGACATTAATATTCGAGATTTCTGTTCTCCTACACGACATTGTTTTCAGACACGGCTTTGTACATTACACAGTGTTTTCTAGATATTTAAAGAGTATTATTTGAATATATATATATATATATATATATATATATATATATATATATATATATATATATATATATATATATATATATATATATATATATATATATATATATATATATTTGTCAAAATTAGAGAATTGAAAAATATCATCTCGA